ATCCCCTTGAGTACCCTAATCCTTCCTGCCTGCAGGTGCGTGTGCCACCTATGACTGGATGCCTGGGCTCCCACATCTAGTGAGGTTTAGGCATCGGGGTAGTAGTTGAATTATAGGATCTATAGGCCCTAGTTCTTATGTTAAGTCTTCCGACCGGTTTGGGATTATCGCTGGGAGAATAGATGGCTTCAGGGCCTTTATTTCAAAATTCCCTAATCTGGGGGATACGCATAAATCCGGTGTAAGGTTATACCGCCATTCGATCGAGGTTATCGGGCCTATATCAGGCGGGTCTGGCATCACAGGGCTTGGAATTTGTTTATATGATCGATTGGATAATAGAGGGCTTCAGGGCCTTGGTTTCAGAGTTGCCCGCCCTAATCCCAGAAAATCCGTAAATTAGCGCCATAATTCGTCAGGGATTAGCTCTATCCGGCCGGTTTTCGGCTCTAGGGTTTGGAATTATTGATGGGATAATAGATGGCTTGAGGGCCTTGGTTTCAGAACTCCCCAGACCTAATCCCAGGGCAACCCATAAATCGATCCGGATTGCTAGGGTTTAGGGATCGGGCTAGGCTTTAGGAATGGCCTCCTTGGGCTCGGGTGCAGATCGGATTTACGAAGATCCTGCAGGAGCCTAGTGTTGCGTTCCGTTACGGTTCAGGGTTCAGGGTTCTATTATCGGGTTTACGGTTCACTCAGGGCTTCGGTTTCAATGTTTTGGATTCCATTATTCCGAGGGATTGGATGATAGGGATTTGGAGTTAAGTGTAAGCCCACCCAACCCGACCCAACCCCGACTTGGCATGCTGCAGGCGAGAAGGCTCTTCACAGCATTTTGCCAGATGCACCAGTACAAATGCGCTAACACTGGATGCGCGTACGTGGTGCATAAACCCCTGCACATTCGGCGGCATCTGCTGCAAGCGTTCAAAGTGCAGAAAAGGGGGAAGCCGCATGGTGCACATGTTCACAGCGATTGCCACCGTGTCGCAGTGACACCTGGAACCCCCCAACGCCGACTCGAGCCAATGCATTAGGGCTTGGGGATTAGGGTTGTTTCGCTCGTCGAATTAGTATGAAATTAAACCCCGTGTCGATCCATGCAACCGTTACATGCAAGAACCTGAACATCGAAAACCCTCAGGTCTAGACATCTGTTTCGCGCATATAGCCTTGCGCCCAAGCTCCTATGCTCGAAAATCCGCATGAAGGTTCATAGAAGCTTCAAACCCAAATCGCCTAAATCCAAGATCCTAACTAAACTCGAAAATCCGAATGACTTAGATCCGTTATTTCTTCAAAGATGCAGCGCGTGAAGCCATAAGCAAAAGTACACTAAGTCCTGGTACAAGAACACAGCGTACTACTTTATTCCCAAACCCAAGACCCCACGACCCTAAATTGGAACCCGAGCAATCCTGCATATCGGGCACCCAGTCGAAGTAACCCCACTGAGGTACACCCCGACATCTCTAACATTGCTATCCCCAAAACCCATGCACAATCAACCCCAAAATGAAAACCAATGAAACCTTTCTAAATCCTAACCCCGATTCTATGGCACAGGATTAGGGATCTTAGTTTTTAAGGGTGGGGTTAGGGGTTAAAGCGGCCTCGACCCGAGGCTGGCAGGCAGCATGCAGCCGCAGCGTCGGGCCGAAGCTGCACCTCCGGAGTGTGGAGGCAGAGGTCGGGTTCAGGATTTAGGGTTCAGGGTTGGGCCTCAGGCCTGGAGTACTCAGGCCCAATTTACAGGATTCAGGGCTTGGGGTTGGATTCGGGATTTCGGGTTGGGTTTTTGATTTGGGGCTTACGGTGCATACGCGTCTGCTGCGTTTGGTGCAAGACAACCCAAATTGGACTAGGGTACCCCAACTTCGATTCGGGATCAGGGCTTAAGAAAGTTGGGCGGATCCTAGGACTTACTTGTACCTTATCTAACTATCCTATCTACACCTATCCCAAAAACGGAAAAACCGAACCCCAGCACCGCCGGCCCAGTTTTCGGGCGGTGCAGCCGTTGCCTGAGTTGGCAATCGCGAAGCCCATGCTCTGCCGCCAAGTGAAGCAGCTCAAGGAGAGGCTGAAACCTCACGTCCAACTCGGTCGGGGTCTTCATGATCCTGATTGCGGCAATCAGACGTCGTTCTCTCCATTCCTTGCAACGGATGTGTCTGACAGAGCGCGTGCCGGCAGTGCTTCGAGCCACTGTGCCATGAAGCATGGCCCTCAGACGAGATCATCTCCAGGACGCTGGTGCAAAGCGTTTCGGACGAGTGTGTTAAGGCATCCAGCGCGAAGGTTTTTGGACACATTGCAGAGTTCCTGCTTCGGCTTCCGAAGCGCTGGAGAGGGGCTGTATATTTCTGCAACCCTAAACCCAAGACCCAAACCCCAAAATTTCGCCCGAATAAAGCTACTGGTATACCTTCTACTCTAGATCGTATTTCGGCCACCCCTTGGCCCAGGTCTTTATGTACAGGGTGTAGGTCTAAGGGCACTGGGCTAAGGCTAAGGGTTTAGGGTCTTGCCCCGGGTCAGCGGCTGTTGATTCCTGCAACCCAAAGCCCAAAAGGACTTAGTTTATCCTCCCAACATTTAGAGGGAACTATCTTATCCTCCCAAAACTTAAATCCCAGCATCTTAATTAACCCGATAAAACTCAGCAGCATAGAAGTGCAACACGCAACAATCTGAATCCCGAACCCTAAGCCCTAAGTCTTCGAGACCATATTGCCAACGCCTGAATGCAATTTCAAACCACGCCCTGGGCCGGGGAAGCCGAAGCCGTTGGAAGACCCCAGAACGAGCTTCAACCCTAACCCGATGCCACATAAACCGGCTAGCTTCAATCATCTTTTTGATTGATCAAGGTCCCCATGCAACCTTCAATCAAGTTTGATGCCTAAGGCCAGCAATTGAAACCGGATCCGATGCGACTAAAGCCCTATAAACCTTCAGATTACTCCCTGATCCAACGCAGGATAAGCTAGTGGCCTGGCCCGGGGAAAGCCACCGAAGCCCAGCACCTGGGCCGGCTAAGGTTAAGCTCGTGATGATGCTCATTGCGAATGCTTGTATGATATGCAGTCACGGCACACATCCATGGCCGTGACATCGATCACATCCATTGGATATAGCACTCTACATCGATTTATGTTAACCCTCAGCTCCCGAGTGTTTCTATTCCCTAAACCTGAGCCCTAGTGTTAGAGTCATAGAGCCCAAATCCCCAAACACCTAGACGGGAAGCCTCTTTGAAGGAGCCCAAGCCGAGCAGATTGCGCAGAGCTTTTTGCTATTCGAAACCCTAAACCCCAAGCCATCAATGCCCGGTCGATGTGCACATGATCATGAGCGAAGGCTGCATGCCTGACAACCGCGGCGCTGAGCTGGTGCGTGTTCAGCGAAGAAAACCATGCAGGGGAGTTTAGGGTCTGGAGGGTCAGGGTAGGGGTGGAAGAAATAAACTGTTCAAGCCTTGAGTTCTAAACATCAAGACCCTGAATTTTCTTAAGCAGCAAGTCCATTAAGGGTTTTTTGGGCTAGAAGATCTTCGAGAAAACCCAAACATCTGCGCCGTTAACCTCAAACTTGACAGTTATTGAGCAAGGATCCCTATGGACAAAAAACTCGACAGCTACGGGGCTTTACGCTAACATGATGCATGTAGACCCCCAACCCATCACTTAGACGGCCTGGCATGCATACGTACGTACTTACATACGTACCTACATACATAGATGCATACATACATACATACATACATACGTACATACGTGCGTACATATGTACTGCCGCATCCGAACGACGCACATAGGTAGCGCCCGCCCCCGCCGTCTGCAATAAAGTTGTCGGCAGTCTGTGCATACGTGCTCGTACATGCTTGCTTACTTGCACCCGGACTTGCAGACGTACTTGCATAAATGCATACATCCATGCACACCTGCGTACATGCATGCGTACATACATACATACGTACGTACATACATACACATACACACATACATACACATACACACATACACACATACATACCCACATACATACATACATACATACATTCATACATACATACATACATACATACATAATCAATCCTTGCTAAACACAACGCCATGCATGTGCTTGCGTCTGCTGACGTACGTACGCACCTGCGCATGTACCTACATACATACTTAGTTGTGCGTACCGCCCCCCCTTTCCGCGCAAGAAACTTAATCAACATATGTTTACTTACCTGCACTCCGACATTTCTACGTGCACACACACTTGCGTAAAAACATGCATGGTCATGATGCTTACGTAGACATACCTAGACCTAGACATACTTTTACTATACATGCATACATGCATGCATACATACATACACACATACACACACATATACACAAAGACGCACGCATACACCCGCGTACGTACGTATGTACGTACATACGTAAATACATACTTGCATGCCTCTGCTGCCGCACATACAGATGTACTTGTCCGCACGCGTACCTACATAATCCTACATACATACGATTTACACCGCCCCTCCGCAAAAAACTGGTCACATGCCTGCATACATACATACATACATACATACATACATAGATACATAAATACATACATGCCTACATATACATACGTACGTGCCTACGTACCTACATACGTGACTGCATATACCTCCCTGCATGTGCTTGTGGGTAGCATTCGTACGTACATGCGTACGTACGGGTGCAGGCACGTACGTACGTACGCACGGACCCCCCACCCCCCCCGCGGGGGTTTCACTGCCCTTGAGATATTAGCACCGTCTGCAAAGCTCAGTTGTTATCTGCGTTTTTTGAGGTTTGTAGGTATCTGGCTTTGCCTTGGCGGGATCGGCTTCAATGCTCGTACATGCCAAGCAGGAAATCTTGAATTGATGTTCCCTTGTTGGGAACGGCATGTGATGTCATGAGGGCCAGGGAAGGTATGTGTGTGGACCACAGCTGAGTGCTCATGCGTGCGAGGTCATTATCGACGAGTGCTTGAAGGGATGGAAGGAGCTGGAATACGAAGTAGTGCCAATGCCTTATCTCTCGGCAATGGCCGCGGGCTTTCAGTGCAGCTACATACTGGGACATATGCCGTGAATGCACCTGGAGAGCCCTGCTACCGCAAGGCGTGATTCCCGGGACAACTGCTTGGTGGTCTGCAACATGGAGAACCTGGATCCAATGGGTGTACACACAGGCGAGTCCATCGTGGTTGCGCCATCGCAGACGCTTTCGAACGATGAGTATCACAGACTGCGGGCTGTTGCAATCAAGGTGATGCTCTTAGCATGAAAGAATTACCATAAAGCGTCAGCCGGTCAAGCCCAAGCTAGGATGCCAAGCAGGATTTCGGCTGCATGCACCAAGGTGATTCGTCATTTCGGTATCGTCGGCGAGGCCAACATACAATATGCCCTTGACCCGAATTCAAACCGCGCCCTGGCTGCGATGTTGCGTGGCATGGCTCATGCAAGGAGGCTGAATCACTGCAGTGCCAGGCTATCGCATTGTCGAGGTGAACGCGCGACTTTCCAGAAGCAGTGCACTTGCCTCCAAGGCACTCAGCCAGCGAGCTTTGAGCAAACACATGCGGCACAGCCGATGGAAAGGCAACCGGGTATCCACTTGCCTACGTTGCTGCCAAGCTTGCCCTCGGCGCCTTGCATCAAAGTCCACCCAAGAAGACTGCAGAGTAGAATTGAACCGGGAGGTAGGAAAAAACCAAGCGAAGCTTTTGCGCTTCGTCCCTGCTGCCCACTCAGGTCACGATCTCGTGAGCTTGAGGAATCAAGTTACACGCTCAACAACTGCGTGCTTTGAGCCCTCGTTGGACTACTGTGTTGTGAAGGCCATGCACTAGTGTTGTGAGAGCATGACAGGGTTTTGCACGAAGAAGCTCACTCAGCAGCGAGCGTTTTTCAATCTGACAGATCCCTCGCTGGGATATTGACAAGTTCCCCACTGTGGAGCGCACTCTGGGGACGCAGATGAAGAGCGTTGGCGAGGTCATGTCCATTGCGCGGTCTTTCCCTGAGGCAATTCAGAAGGCACGGCGCATCGGGGGTCGTGGTTGTGGCATGCGACAAGAGTGACAAGAGCCTTAGTCAAGATTTCCTCGGACAGCCCTGGTAGGCATTGCGCATGGTCAACGAAGGATCCGTCGGCTTTGATGGGAATTGGCCAGACCCCGAACCGAAGCAGCGCAGAGAGCCAGATTTGTTAAGACGTTTATCACCCCTCTTCAGGTACTTGCGTGCGCGGTCTTCAGCAGCTGTCTCGAAAGACGGCAACATCGAGGAGGAATTGAAATATCCAGGACCGCCACGCCCTCAGGAGTGTGCGCAATCTGCCCTTACGGCCTGGACCTGCTGCATAGAGCATTAGAGGCTGAGGTTGATCTGATGAAGGTTGTTTGTTGAGCCTTCTCCGAAGGCTGCGGATGTGGGCGCTGGCGCATGCCTTCGAGAAGAACTACTCTGTGGAGCAGGCGAGGGAGAGTCACTTGCATGTCGAAAGAACATCTTGTTGGCAGAGCAGACTATGGCAGGTCTACCAGCTCACCAAAATCGACAGATGGTTTTTGGCGAAGCTCTTCTCTGTGCCTCAGGGCGTTCAGTGAGGTAATTATTTGCTGCTCGGGATCAACATAAATAGCCAAGAGCACCTTGCACGGTGCTGGTTGGTAAGCTTGTATGTGTGAGCTGCATGTGCGGGCATGTGCAGGTACATCAAGGTCGCAGGAGAATGGAGGGAATGGGCAGCCTGGATGCCTTGCAGCAGGCAGCGGCATTTCTTGAACACTTCGACAATCTGGGGACTTCAGGGCTGCAGGGCCAGGGCCTTGGACTTTGAGGCTGGCCCCGACTTCCTTCGCCGAGTGAAACAGCTCGGATTCTGCGACAGGACGGGGACCGACCTACACTCTTCACCTGTCACAGACCGGACTCTCTAGCTCTAACGTTAACGGCAGCGTTTCTTGTCGGAAGGCAGATTGCCAAAGCAGTCGGCAGCAATGCAGAAGCAGTTATGAAGCTGCGCACTGGCTGGAGCATTCGGCTGGAGTCCCAGCAAAGGTTCTTGAATCTTTTTGGTCTTCAAACTCAGCTGAGAGTGTCTCCGACCCTCGAGGCCTTGCGTGAAGCAGGTCGACACCCTTGCAGCAGAGTTTCCGGCAAAGACGTCTGCCTCACCAGTTCTGCTGCGGTTCTGTGCTCCGCTCTGATGCTCTGCCAGGAATTATTTGTACTTGTCTTATGTCGGCAGCCAGCACGACGTGCCTCCACTGAACAGCGAGAAATTGGCTCCTCACAAGGCGCGGCATTGACACATCGTGAATGTCAGCTTGAGACGGTCTGCTGACCTCCTGACTTTGCAGGACTCCCTGTATGACAGCGCCTTCGGAAGGGGCAAGCTGGACGAGGAGCTGAAAAGCCATTGTGGATCTCGGACACCCGGCCCTTGGAGGAGTCCGGCTTCGACTTGCCAACCAGGAAGCTCGCAAAGACTCAGTCATCTCCCGGAGGGTGGAGCCCTTCGCTGATGAGTGCGCAGTCCAAGGAGGCAGACTCCGGGTGCCTGTTTGCTTGAGCCTAGAGTCCTAGACTTAGCGCCTGCTACATAATAGCTGCTAGAGTCGGGCAACACGAAGCGATGGGCCAGGAACATGAAAGGTTCGAGATCGGAAATAAACAAGGCACAGTGCGACAAGATTCACAAAGAAGTCCGCCGACCCACTGTGTCCGATCGGTCCCACAGCATTGCCAGTCCCAGCATGATTGTCCAGCCCTAAGTAACTCCTCCAAGTCCAGACTCTGCAGGTGCCTCCACCGCTTGACTTGGGCGCTGACAAGGACGAGAAAGCAGCATTCATCGTCCCTCGGCTCTGTCACGTTTCCTGCCACTGCACCTTTGCACGGTTTCGCATCTTCGCACTCGACCGGATGTCGACTGTCCCTACGCTATCCTGAACTGAGCAAGAGGTGCTTGGATCCGGTTGCTACCGGATTGGAGCATCGGTGGAATTTGACTGGGGCTCCGTCTCTGCAGTCAGGCACGGCTGAAGTCTGGTGAAAGACTCTCAAGGTCTAAGTTTCGGGTGCTGCAGGACTCTGCGAGAGACGGGTCATCGAGCGATGGCAACTCGCCGAAACTATTCCCGTGTAGTTTCCCCACGCCTGGGCCGGTTGCTAAAACATCCTCTCTTAGGTGATCAATTGCAACCCCGAAACCGTGTCCACCGATTACGACGAAAGTGATCGGCTGTACTTCGAGGACCTTGGCTCGTTTCGCAATAGATAGTACTGGTACGCTCCACTCGGCAATCTCAGTTTCCTGACATCTCGGCAAGGAGCTGACGCTTGAGACTGTTAGCGAAATTTGCAACTTTGAGCAGCCGAATGGCAGGGGCCCCCTGTAAGAGCCGGCTCTGTATGGCTCCGTGTTACTTGCTAGCGCTCACTCAAGGCACTATCGTGTCTGTTGGCGGCCAAACGTTCATCAGCCGCGCTTATCACTTTGCTCGCACCTTCGAGATTCGCCCTGCTGGGGCATCGTGGCTTGCAAGCATGTGCAGACACGCATGGCAGGCCCAACAACTTGGCTCCCCAGCTGGACAAGCTCGGAATCAGAATACTGGGAACCGCAGCACAAAACATCGATCGTGCCGAGGAGTGACCGCAGAAGTCCAGCTCTGCATAGCTCTGCTTACACGGCGGGTGTCTGCAGGACCGCTCCAAGTTCTCAAGCATGTGCGATGAACTCGACATCGACCAGCCTCAGTGGTCCGAGTTTGTGCAGCTCGAGGAGCTCTCAGCGCGAGACTTTTTTTTTACTTGGCGAATGTTTGAAGCGTCTTTCTGTGAGAGGATGCGCTCTTCTTCGCGAACAGCGTCGGCTTCCCTGTGCTGGTGCGCCCCTCCTACGTCCTCTCCGGAGCGGCGATGCGGGTCATTGACAGCGAGGCCGCCCGTGCGTGATGAGGGGGCGAAGAAAGGCACACGTCCTCCCCAGCCCCTTTTCAAAACAGGCCTTTAAACCCGAGGGCCCTTTTCCCAGCTTCTTCCGAGGAGCAGCTGAAAAGCTTCTTGGGCACCTCGGCAGTGGTCCACTTCTCAGACCTAGGACCTAGGCTACATCTGTGCCATCCAGCTGCGCAAGACGAGCAGGTTGAACAGGAGTTCCCAGTGGTCATGTCCAAGTACATCGAGGGAGCTAGGCCTCGGACGTGAAGTGACAGGATGTGACAGGGAGATTTTCGGAAATGGTTGCCCTGAATGCCAGGGAGATCGAGTTCGATGGAGTTGGGTGCAATGGGGAAATCATCAACTACGCGATTTCCGAGCACGTCGAGGAGAGCCAATGCCTAAAGCACCGGATACCGTAAGCTGAGCACTTTGGGGCTTCAGGATGCTGGCACGCACAGCGGTGATGCCACCCTGCTTCTGCCTTCTCAGCGCCTCTACCTTGAGACGAATCGGCGTGCGATGCAGATCGCTGCACAGCTGTGACGCGGCAGCACTGGGAGGATACTCAAAGGCGTCTGTGACATCGAGTGACCTCGCGACAACCAGTAGTGAAATTGTTCACCGGATTGTGTGAGAAGTTGTCACAACAAAACTCGAGTCGCAAGTTGCAGCACAAACTCGTCGAGGTTTTAGAACTTTGACTGAACCCTGAGTCTGTGGTTAGCCTCGGTGCAGGGAAGCGCGAAACAAGCAATGCACCTTGAATGAGACGAGTCCCTAACTCATTCGGTCGGCCGGATGGGAACGTGTCATGACGCTTGGAGCAGCGAGGGATGGTGAGTGTTGCATTCCAAGTCGTTCCAAGCGAGAGCACGAGGAGCCGTCGAACCGGCTCTGACCCTGCTCGGAAGTGTCAAGAACTGTCGGAAGTTGTCATGTCTGGAAGTGGTGCCGCCTTTTTTTGTAGAAGAGAATCATGTTCGAAAGTCCAACGAACTTGTGCGAACCTGGGCGAACGATGCATCGTGATCTCGAAGGCAATGTATGTGAGATGATCAACTCAGGTGCAAGGCCCTGAATATTTCCGGGCCTTTCAACGTGCAGTTCATGTCGCAGGTATGCGGAGCTGTGCAGTGTTTAGCATGTGAAGCTGCGATTGCAGCAGAGGATCATCCCCGAACTGACGGTGAAACTTGAACTAACGAGACAGAGGATGCTGGTTCATGACACCGGCTTGATGCAGGAAGCGGGAAGCCGGTCGATGCGAGCAGTGAAAGTCATCGAATGCAATGTCCGGGCGTCACGAACTGTGCTCCGGCTTAAAGTCTTCACGATGCTTAACGACAGACCGGATCTTCACGCAAGAGGTTCCGTTTGTGTCGAAGACCTTCAACATCAATTTCATCGAGCTGGCCACACGTGTCATGCTGGGTCAGGAGAGCGGTACAACTCACCAATTGTGGGGCGCGGCTCACCGCTGTGCAGTGGAATTTGTCTTCCATCTTGTGAGTCTCAGGACATCAAGCCGATGAAGGTGCATGTAAACGACTTTGACTTCGTTGCATGTAAGGCCTCTCGTATCCTTGGCTTGATCGCAGAGCATTTGCAGTTTCGACAACCTGCAACATAGTACCAAATGTGTGCAAGGCCCCTATGTTTTCCTTCTTGCGACTGAGTGGCTCTGACCCTCGCGTCGGAGTTGAGATGCAGAGCACCGGCGAGGTGCACAGATGCCCTTGGCATGATACAACTATTGGCTCCTACCGTTTGTTCGGACCCTCAGCATCCCTCAACCTCAGTGAGAGGTGGCCTGCTTCGGACACGATGCGCATGAGGCTGTTTGTCTTGATGCATGCTTGTGCAAAAGTTACTGAACGAAAATCGCCGTGTGTGTCGAGGCATTCTTGAAATCCATAATTGCAAGTGGCATCAAGATCAAATTCGAGCCGTGCGGGTCTGCCGGGCGGTGTTGCTGGTGACTGCTAGTGCTAGTGCATGAGCACCGCCACGCTCTCTGTAACTGCCTTCGTGATTTTGCATTGCTTGTCGGAGTTGCCAGGCTCCTGTTATCTTTAGGCCCACAGGACGCTACTGAGTCAAGCACAGCCCATTAAGCTGATTGCGGTCTCACATCATGCTTGCTGCTTGCAGTTTTGCAGCCGCCGTGTCAGGAGGACAAGATGACAATTCTTGAGCACTTGCCCTTGCTAGACGAAATGGGCTATACGTCCAAGCCCCGGAAGCATTTGCAGAAAGCGTCTGGTCTCAGAGAGTTCGTCTTTCACGCAGCCTTCGACCGAGGCTGTATGCCACTAGCGGAACAGCGTCGTTCCTTCAGGCCGTCGTGTTTGCCTTGCTATGCTTGGCAGGGAAGAGATCTGTTGGGTGTTGAGACTTTCACCACATGATGCAGTGCCTTTAAGACATTCTGGCAGTGGTCGTGTAATTTATTCAACGTAACGGCAATGTCACGAAGTGGCTCCAACACGCCAATAATCCGGCCCGACGTCCGCAAAGAGATGATGAGAGAGACAGACAGACGGACGGACGGACGGCCGGACAGAGACAGAGAGACGGACGGACGGACAGACGGACAAGAGACGGAGAGACAGACAAACAGACACACAGACACACAGACGCGCAGCACAGACAGACAGACACACAGACGCACAGTCACACAGACGCACAGATGTCACAGACACACAGACACACAGACACACAGACACACAGACACACAGACACACAGACACACAGAGGCACGGGCACAGGCACAGACACAGGCACAGGCACAGGCACAGGCACTGGCACTGGCACTGGCACAGGCACAGACACAGACACAGACAAAGACACAGACACAGACACAGAGACAGACACACACAGACAGACACGCAGACACGCAGACACGCAGACACAGACGCAGACACAAACAGACACAGAGACATGCAGACACGAAGACACAGTCAGAGACAGAGACAGAG